AATTATTACTGTGCGTAGTACTCTTTATACAATATATTCAGTATACTGTCCACAGGGTTTTCTGTTTTTCCAAATGCTACATGCAAATCTAGGAAACCTCTGTCCCAAGATGCAAACTTAAGGTGAGAAACACACTCAGGAGTAGTAATGGGGACACAGAAGAACTGTGCTGCAGAACTAGTGGCTCTGAAATTACTTTTTTTATTACTGAGTAATTAAACAGGTAAAAAGAATGCTAGCAGTAGAGACAAAGAAGAGCTGATTTGGAGGGACCGGGGTAAAATGCAGCAATGTACCTAGCACTAAGTTCCTGTCCATGATGGGGGTTGGGAGAGACTGTTTGTTTTGACTGTATATTCAATATTCAGATTTCAACATAAAAAAAAAAAATCACATTTTTATATTCTTGTGTTAGTTTTGCAGCAATTCATTACACCTAGAGTGTCCTCTTCCCTGCATCTTACAAGGTCATCTAAGACACCAGGTTTAAAACTCTATCACTCTGACTTAGGAGCTCTATACACCAATTTGAAGAGAATCCAGAGCTGCAGACAGTGAAATCCCAAATGAGGCCATGTAGGCAACTGCTAGGATAGCAATTTTTCTTTTCAGGCTACAGTTGTTCTTTGAATTTTAGATTTAAACTGTTGGAAAGAAGTAATATAAGTTAGCTTTAATCACATAGAGTGAGTTAGTTGTGTTTTTGATGTTCCTCCGCAAATGACCGTCATGTAAAATCTTCTTACCTTAGTTCCTGAAGTAGGTACTAGTCCCACAGCTGCCATATATGTACTTCCAATTGTCTTGATCTTTTCTATGTCCTTATAATATTCTTTGTCCATAAGCTTTGTTTAAAACATAAAACTGTTAAATATTACATAATATTTTAGACAAACAACCACAGTTATCAGATAATATGTGCAAGTTGATTAAACCATATTATTTTTGGTAAGTTGAGGCTTGCCCACCTTGAGGTCATTGAAAAAACTACCGTTAACTAGCATTTTAATACTCTTCCTATATTAGAGGAATTTGAGGTCGGACTCATGTGCCTAAAAGTACAAACCGGGCACTTTGGAGAAGCCCAGTGGACACCAACAATTAAATAAGAAATTTACCATACTGGTTTATTATGCAGGTCAAGATAATGCTAAGTAGCTACAGATAATCTCTGTCGATAGTAATTTGGTAGAACTGATATGGTCAAAAGACAAAGTGTTTAGACCTTACCTCATCAAAATCAGCAATAATTTCATTTAACAGGCGTAAACATTCGACTCCCATATTATTGCCGTCCAATTCGATGTAGAAATCATTGAAATTTGGGATGGAAGCAAACATCACTCCCACTTGTGAATATGACTGGTAATAAAGGTCCTGCAGTTGATGAGCAGATATAGTTTTTATTTTAAAAGATTATTCTAAACCAGGCATCATTATTATGATATCTATTCTACTGCTAAGCAATAGCTAGGACAAAAGCCATTATTTTTGGTAGAGAGAAAGCCAGCCTTATTAAAAAAATGTTGGAAGATCTCTCCACTCAAAAATGCAAAAGAAAATTAACACCTAAGGTATTAAACCCATTTAAAACAACTTAGTCTTTTTTTCTGTCTAGACATGGAAGCAGTGAGTAAAAATTTTGTAATAAGTCTTAACTGTTGTAGAGTTTTTGTTGTATAAGAAATATAATTGCATTTCCCCAATTTTGTTTTATAACTAAAATAGAGGATGGAACAATTTGCAGCACAAATTGAAAAATTTGCGAAAACTGAATTCTGCAGCACAAAACCAGCCTCGCTCCTTCATGTCTTTCCCTGAGTTGCAGAGTCCAGTATTCAACGTTAACGATATAATGCTGTTCTGCATGGTAAGGTTTCTGCTTAAGAATTTAGGGGGCTCACAGAAAGTAAAACCATTCCTCTGTGGCTCAAATACATTGATCCATACTCTCAAGAGCAGTATCATGGCCATTACAGCTACTCCAGTGCTGCAGGTATTGCAGCTGCACTGGAAGGACTCTGGTAAGGGCCTCCTGAACCAATTTATTTAATCACTGCAGCCTTTGATGTTAAAAGTTACTGTGTCTTCCTTGGGTGTGTACAATTCTCTGTTTTTAACTTTAAATGGATGGGTTTGGTAATGGCAGCATATTTCTAGAACTAGAGTGGTTCATATGGAAGTGTCAGGCAGTTCACCATTCAGAACCATGAGCTCATGAAATGCTGTGATAAATCCCAATATTCTAAATTGACGGAAAACACATTAGTGATTTGTGTGCAGACCCTTGGCTGCATTGACATTGAATGACACAACATTCCCTTATCCTGCTTTTTATTAAAATTCTTCAGAGAAGGAGGAAGAAGAAATAATCCCAATCTAATTCTTGAACACAAGTTTTTACAAAACTATTACTTTTAACATGAATGAAATTTCCAAAGTCAAAGCCTTTCTTGAAAACATACAGTTGAAAGGTGACCCAAGCTACACAGGGTCACACCCATACAACATCACCATGTATTTAAATTTATCTTGGTTTACCATATTTCTTGGATTAGACATAAGAAAGTGCTGTGCAACATGTGCTGGCAACAGGTTGAAGAGAATTCTTTTATTATCCAGCTTGACTCTCTCCATATCATCTCTCTCTTCTTCTGCCTGTGGGGATAGAGGAAAAGAAAAACCTTTCCAAAAAGCAAAAAATTAGCTGAAGCCATCAAATAGCTTCTATTAATTCATCCTTTGAAATTGAACTGAGCAAAATAACGCCTGCAAAGTAGAGTGGGAATGGTTCCATGCTTTTACATCGGGGCAAAATCCCTTGAAGTCCTTAGTAATTCAAGCTAAAGTCTCTGGGCTGATGACCACTTTCAGGGCTAAAGGTATTGGTGTCTTCTGTAGTTCTCTGTGCCCTTGATATTTTCACAGAGCAAAAAACTAGAATAATCCCAGTTAAGGCACATTGGCCTTGGAGGCCAATTACTTCCCAGGTAGGCGGAGGCAGTGACAGCAGTATTTGATTGACCTTTCAAAAAAGAGAAGCCTGGAGAATCACCAATATTTAAAGCGAACCTATGTCATTTTGCAGTAAAATGGAAATAGATGTGGTAAGACAGTAACTTCAACTGAGAAAAAGATTTTAAAATTGAACATCCTTAAGAATGATATGCAGTTTAAAAAAATATTTTAATATAAAAAACAATTAGCATTTCTAAAGGTGATTTTAATTACTCTGGTATTTGTCATGAAAACATACACCGTTCCTGTGCACAGAAAATTCCGTGCACAACAGAAATACTAGCATTCATGTGAATGACAGCATTTAGAAAGTACCTAGGAGTTAACATAGCTGAAGTCCTTAACTCAAGGTCCTCGAATCCTATTGCAAGTGTCTTGACTCACAGGAGTTAGTGGGAGTCACACATTAGGAAACAATTCTAAAAATCAGATTCCGTATTGGAAAAATACTGAATATCTAGGGATCTCATTTAGGACTCCTAGGTTTGCAAATTCCAGCCTAGTCCTTAGTAGACTCTTCTGCAAAATTACTTCTCTGGAATTTGCTCCTTGCTGTTAGAGTGACTTTTGGCCCCATATTCTCATTTCAATTAGAAAACATTTGATCAGTACCATGTAATTCATCTCATCGAAATCACAGCTTATTCTTTGCTCTTCGGTCACACTCACACAACTGTAACCCAGATCTTTTGCCGTGATCCCAATATGATTTTGTTTATCTAGTTGCAGTCAGCAGAAGACTGGAAGGCCAAATTCTCAGGCATTGTTGAGAAACTACAATCACATAAAGCACTGAAGAATCTGCTCTAATATTTGTTGTTGTCCCTTTTATATCTAGAATTTACTATCCTGATCTATTACAAAGTCCATATGCTTTTCTGACTATCCATTCCTGTCTAAGTAGGAGAAAACCAGTCACCTCTTGCCTTCGTATAGTCTTACTGTATTCTTTTCATGTGATTTTTTTTTTCAGGAAACTAATTTTTGCTTTCCATGACAAAACTTAGGGAACAACCTTCTTATTCAAATCACACAGTTTGCTTTGCCTTGCATTTTACTTCTGTATTCTTAAATTTCTTTACAAGTAGAAAGAATGCTGAAAGAGAACTGGTTTTATAAACCTAACTTCTTCAAGAATAATTCCCTTTTGAAATAAATTCTCAGCTCCTCCTCTAATTTGTGTAATAAGAATCAGAATTTATTCCAGAGGTGAAATATCAGTGAACATTAAATAGCAGCTAAGCTCTGCAAGAAATACACCTGAAATTTTTATTCTAAGCAAGTGTCTATTTCCTGGTTGTGAGCTGTTTTCCTGACACTTTTTTTGCTCTTTAAATTTCATATGCTGTTTTCTTAAAATATCCTTCCCCTATTTTGGTGGCATAACTCTGTCTCTGACTTATTGTTGTCTATAAACATGTGTAATGGCCTCTTGCACTTTGTCTGACTGTTGGAATTTAAGTGTTCTCATAGTAAAAACAAAAAGCTTGTTCCAACTGAAAATCCAAACCAAGCTTACAACTCCATTTTTGCATCATACTGGAATATGGGAAATTTTACTCTGACGACAGTAGAGATATTTGCAAACCGAATTCATGCTCTGAATAAAAAAAAATGTTTTGGGTTGCTTATCCATTCCTCTATTTTTTGAACAAGAACTTTTTTATTGCTTTCTTCCTAGGAATGTTTAAGGTTCTCGGTTAAGCTACCAATACAATATGGGGCAGAACATAGAATCATAGATTCATAGAATCATTATGGTTGGAAGAGACCTCAAAGATCATCAAGTCCAACCGTATACCTGATGCCACCATGTCCACTAAACCATGTCTTGAAGTGCCACATCTAAACGTTTTTTGAACACCTCCAGGGACGATGACTCCACCACCTCCCTGGGGAGCCCGTTCCAATGCCTAACAACTCTAACAGTGAAGAAGTTCTTTCTAATGTCGAGCCTGAATCTCCCCTGGCGCAACTTGAGACCATTTCCTCTCGTCCTATCGCTAATTACCGGGGAGAAGAGCCCAGCCCCCGCCTCACTACAACCTCCTTTCAGGTCGTTGTAGAGGGCGATCAGGTCTCCCCTCAGCCTCCTCTTCTCCAGACTAAACAACCCCAGCTCCCTCAGCCGCTCCTCATAAGGCTTTTTCTCCAGGCCCTTCACCAGCTTTGTTGCTCTTCTCTGAACACGCTCCAGTAGCTCAATGTCCTTCTTGTAGTGAGGGGCCCAAAACTGAACACAGTATTCAAGGTGCGGCCTCACCAGCGCTAAAGGACAGCAGACTAAAGGACAATACACCTTTGGGCCAGGGCATAGAGACTTCTGGACAAGTCAAAGTAACCAAGCAGGGGTAGGTAAGTGGAGTAATCAGTTTGACACATTGCATGGATAGTGATGTTGCTCAGTCACTGGCAGCTGCTGTTCATTTCTGATCTGGAAATGTGTGATCAGGTTCCTGCACCTTGCCCAGTCATGGATCGAAGTGTTCATTTTGGAAGACATGCCTGAGAAGGTGCTTCAGCAATATCAATTGTTTCCTACCGTTGTGTGTGATTCACAACAAAGGTTTCAGAGCAAGCCACAGCACAAGGACAAAGCTGCCAGCACTGAAGCAGACCCTTGTGACCTTGGTCATGTTGCTGGACTTCTGTTCAGCATTTGATGCACAGAAATAAAAGACAATTCTAATATACCAACATAAAATAAATGTGAAAGCACACTCTAGCCTGTTGGTTTTCTGCTTATTTCCTCCTGATAGAACTTTAAGGCATGTGATGGCTTTTCTGTCTCACTTCAGTATGGTCAGGAAACTACTGGGAGAGAGATGCCAGTGACACGACTGCGTGTGTGCAGGTACGGGTGTGACAATATTCACAATGATGGGACCATAGCCATGACTAAGAGGTTGAGAACTGAGCTCTTGAGTGATGAGCTAGTGGCTCAAACCAAACCACCGAAGTCATGACTGAAGGGGTGGCAAAATCCTCTAAGAGCAGGGAAGGGCATCAAGGATGTCACCATTGCTAAGACACACCGTAGAATGCTACATTTCCAGCACACCTAGCAAACATCTCTTCCCCTCTTTGGATGCAAAACTGTTAACTACAATTTTGACTCTGAGAAGGTTCAGTTGCCAGAAATGAGATGAAAGCTACCAAGGGCATGGAAAGCCCTTGAATAATGCCATGGTGGGTAATGGTAGCAAACTCGAAATAGAGACAGATTATGCAAACAGCAGAACGTGGGGAATGTAGGTCAAGTGCTTGTAGCTGTTTGTGCCCTGGCCTATTTCAGGTCAGGCTTTTCCTAGCCAGTTCTGTCATTCAGGGAGACATTTGCACTGGCAATACCTATGTGGGGCAATGCAGTGCCATGAAGAATAAGCTGTGTTAGCTCTGCCTGACCTTGCCCCAGACCTAGATGCAGAACATTCATGGAATTAGCATTGCACTTCTTCTGAGCTACTTCATCATGTTGAAAAGTAAGGTATATTGGCTTAGACCATACACTAGGTTAATACTGCTCTATTGTTGCTGGTACCCTAGCCCAAGTCTCTGCACGGACTGCACTTACACCATCCAGACATATCAAATGTCTAACATCCTATCTTTATTAAAGTGATCTGCTAGGAACCTGAACTGAAGTGTACCTTCTCAGCTACTACTGCCTAGAGTTTGAGTATCCATCCTCTCTCCCTGCACTGCCTAAGACAGAGTTCTCTCAGGAGCTGCCTGGGGAAGATCTCCTTGTGTCTCTTGCAAGGGAAGAAAAGGAGTGAAGGTGAGGTAAAAAAAGACTTGGTCATGTTCAGTAGTGAGGACTCTTAAAACTAACCCATCACATGGCTCTATGGGGAGGAAAGTAAACCAATTATTGATATTTTCTGGACCTTTTTCCAGCTTCTTGCTTTCTGCCCTTCAGGGGAATACAATGAAAACTGTCTTTCCTCTTTGTGACTCACAAACTCCTACTGCCTACTCTTTGAGCAGCTGAGACAAAAGGATGTGTAGGCATCAATCCTTCCCAGGCAAAACAGACACTGAGAAGGGAGAAGGAATACTTGGGCCTGGAGAAAGAAGATTAAAATAGCACGGATCAGAGGTATTTACATTCCTGGTGGAAATATTACCTAGACAGCTAAACAGCATCCAGGCTTTTGTCTGTTTGCCCCTATTCCTATTGGTTAATTAAGAAAAGCTGCCAGCATGATGTTTATGCAATAGTCACTGGCTCAAAAAACAAGGCAGATTATTGTGAAAATAAACAAGAAAGAAAATACATAGGTATGAGCAACATCATTTTTCACATTCTGCTTTTTACTTGTACCTGTTTGGTATTCATGAAAAGTGATTGCATTTTACAAAGTTACACAGCATCCCACAGGTTTTACAATGCTGGTAACTGGTTACACACCCTCTGTTCAGGAAGTGATCTGAGCGGTTGTATCACCTGAGTTATCAAGGTGACTGTTTAGTAAGCATAAAAATGCTGTAGCAATGTCACTGACTGAAGAGTTATCACAGGAAAATCCATTGTTTCAAGATACAGCTAAAAAGATGCTGCAGAAACATCACTTTTGGTACCTGAAGGTGGCACTAAAACCCCGGGGAAGAGCCCCATCTCACTGCTGCTGTAGGGCCAGGGTTTTAGGGAGTGCAAGCACACCCGGCAAGTCTTGCTTGCAGACTGTAAAATACATATTTCTTACAAGTGTCTCGGCTTAGAAAAGACAGTTGAATGATATTCTAATATTCGCTAAAGAATGCAACAATCAGTCACATCATTGCATTATTATTTTCCTCCCCTGACAAATCCTGAGTGAGGGAGCAACTCCTTTTTTTTTTTGGTAGTTTAAGCTTCTTCATAAATTTATTGCTTGCATTTGTTTGTCCATTCTTTTTTTTCCAGTTTCATTGAATAATTTGCATAAGCAAAAGTGATTATGAGTCACAAATAAGTGAAATGCTGCTATATTTGCTATTCACAGTTATTGTCATATGAGGCACACTGAGTTACTCAACAACGTTATATAGAAAAAGAAATTCACCTCCCACTGTTTAAAAAAAACAAACCAAACCAAACCAAAACCCCAAAAAACCCCAACTGGTGTTTTCTGGAAATCCTGTGATATTCAGAAAGGTTACATTTGGCACAGAAAAAAAACGAGGAAAATCAACAAGAACCTGTAACACCATTGATGTGTGAACAGTAAGTACAAATATAAATGTTTTAACAACTTATCATCAATCAGAAAAATGTATTTTTTCCACAATGTACATAAATCATACTGCATTATCTTGGTTTTGGTTACATAACCTAGATGCACAGAAATTAGATTAACATTTCTTGAAACTGTATCATTTTTCTAAATCAGTGTTTCTTGTTTGAAATCTGCTTTTCCTCAAAATACATTTTTTTCCTGATCTGGCAGACAAAAATCTATGGAAATGGGTTTTCTTCAGACCTTAGCATAGACTACTGAGCGTCTCTCTATATATTCTTATTAATAATGGTATCAATTGCAGGATACTTTCAGTGTTTAAAATGTCATTTAGTTAGTACTAGGCTGTTTGTTGTTCATGATGAAGTAAATGAAAATATCTATGAAATCCTTTTTATTGCAGCTTATGCCACAAATGGTTTTATTCATCTGAGAACATTCTTACAGGATTAGTCTGTCCTGATTTTGGCTGGGATAGAATTAATTTTCTTCCTATTAGCTGGTACAGTGCTGTGATTTGGATTTAGGATGAGAATGATGTTGATACCACACTGATGTTGTAGTTGTTGCTCAGTAGTGCTTACTCCAAGTCAAGGACTTTGCAGTTCCCCATGTTCTGCCAGTGAGGAGGTGCACAAGGAGCTGGGAGGGAGCACGGCCAGGACTGCTGACCCCAACCAGCCAAAGGGATATTCCACACCGTAGAACGGCATGCCCAGTATAGAAACTGGGGGAGTTGGCGAGGAGGGGCTGATCACTGCTTGGGGACGGACTGGGCATCGGTCAGCAGGTGGTGAGCAATTGCATTGTGTATCACTTGTCTGTCTTGGGTTTTCTTTTTCTTTCTTTTTGTTATGTGCCTTTTCATCATTATTATTAATATTATTATATTACTCTATTTTATTTCAATTATTAAACTATTCTTATCTCAACCCATGGGTTTCACCTTTTTTTGATCCTCCTCCCCATCCCACCGGGGGGGCGAGGAGTGAGCAAGTGGCTGCATGGTACTTAGTTGCTGGCTGGGGGTAAACCATGACATAGCCGCATAATAAACCTTACTAAAAGGATGCAAACAAAGTGCTTACAGCTTCCAGAATAGCCCTTGAATCTGAAATTCTCCCAGTTGTAAGCCGGTAACTGAGAAGCTTCCTAAAAATACGTGTTGTACCATTTGGGAAAACCTTTAACATAGCAGTGGCTGGCTACTGGGTCGTTCACGCAATTCAGTGTTTGCACAAAGAACCAGCATGCTCACTTTGTAAAACAGAAGAAAATCTCCATGGTCCCTGTGCACTAAGTCAATGGTCTTTCTAAAACTTCTGACACCAAGAATGTAACCAGGATAAGCCAACATGGTTGAAGGGTGAGTAGTACTGTGGCTGTAGAGAAACATGACCAAAAAGGTTGTGTAACCATATACAGGGCTCCTGCAGTCCAGCAGCTAGAGAAAACTGTCACTCAGGAAGGGGTTTTTTACCCTTGTCTCCTCTTAAAGATTGTTAAATTAGTAGCTTGGAGTTTGCTAACTATTCAAAGGCACTTTTAACATATAGGTATTTCCAATCAACAGTTGTCCCAGAGCTTTTAATACTCAGATTTTTACTATGCCAAAGAGTCTAATAAGTACAAAGATAAAGGGTTTTTTTGCTTATCCATTCGTATAGATAAGCACCATAAGCACTTCTGTAACATCCATATCGACGGTACTCCTGCATGTTATGTTAATTAGCCCTTGTATTCAATATCATTTACAACCAGTACAAAAAGTGGAAATCAGGACAACATTCCTTACATGTTTTCCACTGTTATTTATTGTACAGGGAATAGATCTTCCATGTGGAACTGAGAAGAACAAGGGAATATGCCCAGATCATCAAAGACGCCAAGCATCTACCCAGCATACTCATTTCAAAGAATGGTTGTTATGTTGATCCGATTTCCGCATTTTCTACCTACACTGATTTTTTTTTTTTCCTTTCTGATTATTATCATGCAAATCTCACAGACAAGACAGTACCACATAAGTACCTGATTTGCAATTGAGAAGATCTGAAAATGGTATTGGATCTTCTCAAATGAAAAGCACTTTTTGAAATGGTACCTGAAGATGCCACTGGACATTACTGAAATTTGATAGGCATCAATATGTCTTAACTCCCCTTATTGTCTTTCGGAGTAAGTGCACAATGGTTTTAACAATAGTGGTAGATGACTATTGTATTATTTCTGTAAAACCTGGCCCCAAGAAAACAGAAGTAGTTTATACTTCTTCCTTTACTATTGTCCAGGTCTGGTCTTTCAGCAGGCAAGCATCCCATTAGTTTCCTGTACTTGAATTTTTAAAACTAATTGATTGCTAATAAAAAGCCAACTTAAAACTAAGAACCTTTAAGCAGTACATTCCTTAGGAATGCAAAATTCACCATGCAAGTCACAGTAGCTGTAATGGCAAAAAGCATTTAAGTTGCTGGAACTCACCCTTGACCTGTTGAAAGCAAAACAGGATAGCAAAACACTATCTTCCTGCTTGCTACTCTATTTCATGGCCAGGAAAAACACACAGAAGGCCTCATATTCACGGATCATATGGCACTCACATACCTCCACCATGTGCCAACCTATGTAAAGATAGCTGCTATACAGCTAGTCACGTGCTGCTCTGAGTTTCAAAGTCAGGGGATTTTTTTTTTTCCACCTGAAAACTATATTTGGCACTACAACAAGCAGAAACTATTACCAGTTTGTCCAAAACAAACTTCTGAGGCTGACAGGCACAGCACCTATCAATACTGAGGGTTATAGAACAAAAATTAAATGATCATGCATTGTTGACTCAGTTAAACAGCACAGAGTCCACAGAAATTATAGAACAAGGTAAACTTAAATCATAAAGCAGGTGAACACGGTCTTGGACATCAAGACAAGCAAAAAATCCCAACAGACCTTAACTGCTAGGTAGAAAAACTTTAAGAGTAGAAGATAATAGAGCTACGTCATTCCCAAATTCTCCATTCCAAGTAACACAGTAGAGCCAGATGTGTTTAACCCATGTGTGCCAGTCTTGATCTTACACATAAAAGCAAGCACTATAATGATTTATACAGTCCTCTTAACAACATAGTTAACAGGGTGTAGGTGAGAACAGGATGTGATCTCTGTGAACCACAAGAGTGAAAAAGTGTAAGATTTATCATAAAGGCAACTTCCAAATTCCAGCAAAACAAACTTTCATCTTCTTCAACTTTCTCCTTCCCTCAGGGTGAAACACTTTGGAGATGGGAATAGGACTGCTGAGAGGCATGACAGGAGGGAGACATTTCCTGATGGCCCTGCTTACTGCTAATATAGTTTCTACAGGTTTCTCTGTGATTATGATAAGAAATATATTTTCAAAAAAAAGTCCATGCACTCAGTATCTAAATAAATTTCTGATCTTCCTTTGGGGAAGAGTTCCATAGTTTCATGGCATGATACGGGTGTAAGTATTTCCTTTTATCAGTTTTATTTTCTTCTTTTCAGTTTGCCTGAATATCAACTTATTGTCACCTCTTTTTGTATTATAAGATGAAAAAACCCCATGGATTTAATTTCTTTATATCAAGTTTATATTGTTAACAGTCAATTTCCCATGTTTGAAATTCTCTCTATTCATAATCCACCTTAGATATAAATACATTACATCATTAATGATGTACTATTATGGAACAACTACAAACAACAACAAAAAATCACTTCTCCAGAGCAAATGAATTTTGTAGGTCGGTAGAAAGAAAGCTCTAACATTTTTTTCTCTGTAAACCCCAAGAGACATGAAAAATTTTGAAAGTGTCTTAGTTGAACTAATTTGTTCTGAAAGTATTTGCAAGCCAATTCAAAAAGTCAGACATCATTCAAAAAGTCAGACATCATTTTGTGTGCACGGTTACTAGAAAGAGAAGTCCTACGACTTACCTGCACAGCCCAGAGGTAGTCCAGACGCAGCTTCAAGTCCACCTGCCTGGAATGCAGTGCCAAAGCGCAAGAAAATAGCAATATGGCTAGTATTGGTTCATAGCCACGCATATAAAAGGAGCCACCCCTTAAAAATAAAAGGAAAGTAAACGCATTATTCCAGGTTTTCTAATACCTAACACTGCATATTTTGTAATACTATATCTTTAGTTTAGAACATGTGTGTACCCCCTAAATCACTAGCCTTTTCTGAAGAGTCTCCTACGGGCAGGGAGATGACTGACAGTAAATCTGATCACTGCATCACACCAACATTCAACTTCTTGACGGTTTTATAATGCTATACATCATTGTAATGTGTGTGCATGCTTTTAAATAGGAAATATAAAACAACTCAAAAGCTCAAAAGCTTAAATGACATTGGAATTGACTGAGGGTTGCTGAAATATGGAAACGAAGTTTTAACCATGTTTTTCTATTTCATATTATAATTAGACTGCAGTATGTTCAGTTGAGGTATGTTAACATAAAATTACAGAAAAATGGGGAAACAGTTGCTAGTTCCCAAAAGCTGATCTCCTGTTGATGGATATTACTAGATCCTGCAATTGCTGGGGAGAGGATGGCTTAAGTATTTCTTATGTTCTACTGGCTATTTTTTATATATATATATACATTACAGAGCTCTTAGAGGACAATTCACAGAATAGTAGTCAATGTCATGACTATCTATACAGAAACACCTATTACTTTAACTTTGCGAGATACCTACCCCACTGCTTTTCTGTAACCACTGAGTTCCAGAATAACTATGTACAAAATTGTAACAAAAAGCAGGAGAATCATTTTTGGCAAGGAAGATACACGTAGAAATATTGCCAAGGTGAGAGTCCCCACTACACAGGAAAGGAAAGCGTAGTGGGCTGTGTCACATGGAAGTTCATTCATCGTTTTATTTGTTCCACCAGGAGAAATGATAACTATTGAACTGCTGGAATTGGTATTCCAAACCCAAGGCATACAACCAACCTAGAAAAGACAGGAGAGGTGAGAAGGGGAGAAAGTTAAATATGACATGAACAGAAATGCAGCGGCTATGGGGACTGACTCTAGTTCCTCCTTTCTAATTAGGAAAATATGGCCATGGAGTTCCTATCCAGCTCACCGCTCTAATAAAATCTCTATCCTTTTCCTGTAACACTTTACTCAGTTTTAGGTGGCAGACACTCTTTGTTCATTAGATGCTAGTAAGGCCAACACTTAAAGTCTGGGCTTAGTTGAATAGTTTCCCTCTCAGTGCTCAAAGACAAGAGATTCTCAAGCCAACATATTCCTGCAAAATTAAGGAACTTCAGTAAACATTTTATGTGGCCGTGCAGGTGAGAAATGTTCTTGCACAGACCACAGAAAGAAATGTGTTTGTTTTATTGGTTATGTAAATTGTATCAATTTCAATTAATCAGATATAAAAGAAAACATTTTTTAATCTTTGACTGAAAAGCTAAACATCAATAACAACTTTTCTCCACCTCAGAGCTACTTCTGCTATCACATATGACTTAAATACAAGGCCTCATCTTCAATTATCCCTGCCATTTCAGTTATCCAAGGAGTTCCATTTCCTTCCCAGACTGGGAAATAAAAAAATGTTTTAGTGCATTTCTTATGGGAAATTTAAGGAAATTTAACTTGCTTTTTCCAAAGGCAATGTCATATACGCGTCTCAGAGCTATTACCCAAGGAAGAAAGGAATTTCTGGCAAATAGTGCAAGTCCCTAGAGCTCCAGTTTTAATTGCACTCCAACCTTCACCCCTTATGAAGGCAGGGGATAACAGTTAGCATAAACGGGGAGAGTGGGATGGTAGTGTGAAATTGATTTTAACAGGCACCATCACATAAGCCCTGCCCTGTACTTAAGCTTCTCTTTTGAAGTGTGTTATTAGACCTTTTTATCTCATCCTAACCACTGATAATGAAATTTTATAGCATGCTGTAAAATAACTGACAACCTGAAAGGTGATTAAGCAATATATTTTACAGGGGGTTGTAGTAATTTAAAAAGATGAGACATAACAGATAAAATGTGAGTTAAACTCATAATGGCTAACATTATGAAATGAGAGACAGTGAAGTGAAAAATCCTTTTAATGTGATTTTGTTCAATATCCTCAAAAATGCGGTTCATACTAAACTCATCCAAAAACATAGGCATGCATGAAAGCTTCATAAATGATGTGCAATCCATCCAGGAAAACACCATCTGCTATACAACTAAGAGTGAAACCTCGACACCTAGCTCCTCTGCTAGCTGAGAATTCTAGAGGCATTACTTTGCAGGAACTAGTAATTTCTACTGATTAAACATTTCTCCTAAGCATTTCAATGGTTACAGGCTCTTTTTGCTTCAATAAAGTTATATCTCTGACCTATTCTAAGTTGTAACTGAATGCTCACTGCCTAGTTGGAGGCCAGAACTTCTGAATTCTAATTGACCTTCTTCCATGGGTGTTCAACATTGCCTTAGGCCTTATGGTGTCCGTTTCTCATTTTCACCATTTTTAAGTGGCAACAATGGTGCTTGTTTCATTTGGTCAAAGTGTCAGATCTATAGGGGCTGATCCACAAAGGTTCCAGCTCTCATAATATTAATCTCAAACCCGAAGTCAGATACACAGGACTAGCTGAGATGCTAGGCAGCCTGGAGACACTGCACATCTCTACGCATTTTGGGCTTATACACACATTAAGAACCACATATATATCTGTGTGCTGTTAGGACTGTGTGCTACTCACACAGCTGATGTTCAGGGATTCCCAGAAATGTCTGAACATCAGTAATTCCTGGTACATCTCAGGACATTGGAATTCACAGACCCATTCAGTTCATGGGGAACAGCTTGGTAGATGTTGTCAGGGCAGGTCCAGGGATGAGTGAATACTTAAAATACAAAAGAAGAGGCTTGGCATCTCAGCTAGCACTGCGAATTGCTCATGAAATCATTGTCTTCCCGTTGGTCAGAACACATTGCCTAAATCCCGCAGAGAGGCATGATTTGAGACATCTGCCTCCTCAGCATTTCCAATTGTGTTTAGTGTGCTATTTTTGTGGGGATTCTTTCCTTTGGGTACTCTGACATGTTTAATTCATTAGCATTAGCAGCCAAAATGCTGAAATTGAGTGCTAGGAATTTGACAAGGCAACTAAATGCCAAGTACTTAGGAGGTGGAAGTTGAAATCCCATTTGACATTCAAGTCCACCATGTTGAACTAGCTGCTAATCTACAGTAAAAGAAGCTCAGTTTTCAGAAGTATTGAGCAAGTTCACTTCATACAAGAGAAGCTTCCTAGACATTAGATGTGAATTAGATATAAGTAGCACAGTGTAAGCATCTCATCTCATTACACAATACTGTCCATATTTTAAGATTTTGTTATCTTTTCTGATCTGCCCAGACTAAAAATATCCCTCTGTTATTACACAGAAATATGTTCTATACGTTGCCACATAGAAATAAGTAATGTTTGACGCCATGCCTTGTCTGTCACAAAATTGTAGCCATTGAACTAGTAAGCAAGTTGAACATTTAAAAATAGTTTTCCCGTAAAGTACATGACATCAGCAGACTATGTGATTCTAAGGTTTAATATAAAAATTTCTATAGGTGTTGACTAGGTATTATCTGTGTAATCTGCTAATAGCTTTGTCATTCCTAATTCAACACTCTTGCTCAGGGCAGTGAAAGTTCAAATTATAGCAAAAGGCTTTAATTTTGAAGAAACATGCTCTGCAAGTATGAATAATAAAAAGAGTAGGAATTCACCAGATGAGAATATGGTATGTGTTTATGGGATCCATACCAGGTTGTTCTTTAAACAGCATGCTAAATTAAGCAATACTTGATTTAAATACTCACCACACATCCTTGAGCCACGGAGTATATTAAGATCACAATAAAAATACACAAAATGGTACGAATTTGTATTGTCAGGCACCCTGGAAAACACTAAGGAAGAAAAAAAAAAGATTTATAGATAAAGACTTAAAAACATTTTTTTAAATGGGCGTTGTTATTTTTTAGTAGTCTATAAAAAGAAGTGAATAAGGGATATGGAAATTTTGCCTGCACTGCAAATTATGAAACAAGCATGCAGTTATTATTGTGTACATGTGTTTTAATGGTAATTGCATTTTTGGAGGAAATAAATGTGAAATTATTATTACTATACATTGTATCACACTATCATCAAAAGTCTTTGAAAGGTTAGTAGGATGTCTCTCATAACGCAAATAATAAATTAGGATGGCATTTGATTTTATTCTCATGAGGAAAATACCCAAAGCATCTTTTGCCTTGCAAATTATCAGCCACAAGTTATGATCCAAGAGAACATGCTATGGTAGTATAGAATTTTGGAGTGGTATTTGTGTCTTCTGCAATAATAGCCACATTAAATGCCAGGGTAGTTTTAATTATCAGGACTGATTAAAAATATTGAATTTGTCAGAGCAGAAAGAGAACAAAAATGACTAGTGGAATGGAGTCTTGTGAATCTCTTGCTCATCTCCATTTTTACCCTGATTGTATCATGGTGGTATGTGAAGTGCGTGCAGCTGTGAGCATATATGAGGCCAGTGACAGAAGGTAAGAAAGGAAGGATAAGTCTGTCAGGCTCTAGTAGTTATGCTTCTTCCAGTCATACTGATCTACTCTGTTTTAAGGGAAAGCTGCTTTCCTTCTTTTCCACTTGCATTTACAATGTTTGGGGCATCTGTTATCTACTGGATCCATGATACATCTTTCAGACTACAGGACTTCTTCCAGTGACTTCAAGGGGCAAGAATCAACTCCAGGAAACAATCAGATTTAAAGTGGGAACAATCCTGTGTCCCTTAAAAGGAAGGGGTTCAGACTTATCAAGGCTGGATTTGACTTAAGATCAAATGGAGCAAGCAAACACCTAATTTTTGGATGAAAGTCACCAGTCCTGAAGAAAAGGTCTTCACTTCATGGGTATCATCAACATCAAAAGCATAACTTCCAGCAGGCAGCAAAGTACCCATACAGAAGGGCTTCTGTGGCCTTGGCACAACACAAATCATGTATTGAAACTCCTCCCCTGTATGTGTGACCACGAATTAAAAGTTTGAGATAGTTATACGTGAATCAACTTCATCTGGGCTGTGAAACATGAGAATACAGCAATTACAGAAAAAAGAAAACAACACGTGTGATCTGCAAATATATTCTGGCTTCAGTATGGATTAAGTCCATGTAAATGTCAGTGGGGAACAACCAATGTAATATCAATAGTAGATTTATATTACAGACCTGAGTTAATTGGCTATACCAGAAACCAGTTTAACTGTTCGTTAGCATCAGTAAAATATATTGGGATACCCGAGGTATATCACCTTTCATAAAACAGTGAGCATATTTTAGAACAAAACCCCTGAATCTTAAGAATCTCAGACTGAAAAGCTGTTTCCCAAGTGAGGGGATATAGCAGTGTCCAAAATTACACTATGAAAAAAGAGAGAGACTATTTCTGCATTTATTCATCACTATCATAAAGTTCAGGTTGGAAGGGACATCAAGGGGCCCAACAGTAGGGTCTGTCTTGACCTCTTGGACCATTTTTTCAGTGCTGGTCAGTCCCCAGCCTGTGTCATTGAAGGGGGTGATTCCTTCTCAGGGCCTGGACTTTGCATTATCCATGCTGTATGTCATAAGATTCCTGTTGGCTTATTCTGCCAACCTGCCTAGGTCCCCCTCAACGGTCACTCTACCAGTGTGTTGGCCATTCTCCCAAAATTGGAGTCCCCTGAAAAACTGACATGAGTATACTCCATGTCCTTCTCCAGGTCATTGTTAAAAATGTGTAACAGGACAGGTCCCAGGATAAACTCTTGTGGTGCCCCACTTATCACTGGCTTCCAGGTAGAGGACAACCATAAACTGATATGCTCTGAATGTGATCATCCAGACGGTTTTTTACGCATCAAGTTGTCCACCCAGCTAGACCAAAACCCTATACACACATGAGGTGGAACATGTGTGTTTTTATCCCTATAAATAAAATACAAAATAATAATTTTGTTTGAAGGAAATATATATATATATATCCCATTAATTCAGTCTGCAGCCAAATAAGTTATCTACTGCTTGTTAAAGACAGAATCCCCATAGTTTGAAGGTAATGCTGCATAGTGACAAAGCAAAACGCAGAGTCAAAGACAATGTGTCCTGACAGACTGCAAAGACATTTTATTTTTGCTGTGTGGTACGTATATGTTCTAAATGTTGACATGCTAGGCTATTGGGTTAGAAAGGCAAATAAACCTTTAAAAGGTAAGGTATGAGGCATGTCTGAATTAAAACTCTGAGTGACACTTAAAAGATTTATTCTTCTGACTTTTGGTCATTCTAAGATTGCATCTGCTCTTTTATGATAGTATAACATTTTGGGCTTAATTTTCTTTGTTTTCTTTTCTTTGTGGAATTTTTATTGACTAAATAAGTACTGTCAGATCCCCAAAACGCTAGGCAACTGATACAGTAAAACATTATTATAGTGGGTTTATGAGTGAGGTATTTGATGCTAAAGTATGAAGAAGTTGAGTCACTTCTCCAGTGTAAAATAGCAAATAAGTGCCAGAAGACTGATTAAAATAGGGGAGTGACCAGTTTGCAATTCTATATTCATTATGCATAGCATATTCATTGTCTTTTATTTACTATGTAAGACAAATTTTCCCCACAAAATTTCAAACTGTAATATTCTGAGGTTTTATATTTCTTTATTTTTCTAATGCTGGATTTGATCCTGTAAGGTGCTGAATCTCTAGAGGAACCTGGAACAAATTCAAATGCTGTTGACTGCCAAAACAGCTGGAACAAACCTTAAGTTTCCAGTAGCCCCAGGGAAATGGCATAAAGAGGAGCAATTTCCTACAAACTTCACCTGTGTTTCTACCATCCATAGACAAGACAACAGATGATAAACTACTGTGCCTTTATGAAACAAAAGAGGTCATCAAAACTACTCCCAGATAACTGTGCAAGTTTATAAAGATCTGCTCTGTACCAGATACTCTGCTAATATTCTATTCATGTTTCCATGAAAACAATTACTTTCCTCCTTCCAAAGGGCATTTTTTTCTTAATTAAAAATTAGTATGTGATAATCAGTAAAGTTGATTAACTGAGTAGGTGTTTCCTCCTGATATTTGTCTTGACATTGGACTAAATTTAGATTAAGCCGCTACAGATTTTTTTCATCAGAAAATTAGTCGGTTGATGTTTTATTTTGATCTGGCAGACCTACTTCTCTCCGACAACAACCAAATGTCCATCTGCATCATTAGTGTTGTGAAAATGTAATGCAGGAGAATTAATCATTACTAAAGGTTTTGAAAAGGCCAAGGCTTGTGTGTGCAAAACATTGTGCTTTACCATGAAAACAGCTGCTGCTTTGGCAGGAAAAGTTTTGAAAACAGAGGGGAAGTTAGCAGGACTTTACACCCAGATACCAGTCGGAATGGAAGGGAGAACTAGTGTACTCTGTAGTCAGAAAGGAGAAAAAGTCAGGTTAAAGCAGCTGTTTATCTGAACACTGGAATGATTCAGTAGCTAGGACTAGGTATTCAGGGAAGACGTAGCAAAAAAAGACAAAAAGCATAGCGTTAATGGCACTGAATGCTACACTGCTGTAATGATTACTCATGCAAAAAAAAAATAGTCTACTTTCAGGTGACCCATCTTTGGTTTTGAAGTGCCTAATATGTTACTTAGCAATGAACTTGAAAAGCATATAGATTTGAGACTCTGTGAATCCGTGAAGCATGCGCTGATGGCTTCATATTCCAAAGGACAAACAAAGCATAGTGACCAAAAGGCAGAATAGTCATAAAATCTTACATCACTTACTTGTACTCGTGTGACATGTAAGTACATAATACAAGCCACTAGGAAGCATATGCAGAACACCAGGAGAACAAGAACTACGGTACTCCTAGAATCAAAACACAATAGAAGTAAAGCAATGCAACTCAGTAGCAGATAAGAACAAACAGTACAGAGGTCCTTCTGAAATGGTATTTTGGATGAATGGTGGAGGATTTCCCCCTCACCCTTGCTGTAATACCAACTGTCACAGAGGAACTTTCACAGTGAAATGCACTGCTCGCAAGAATGAGAAATCAGTAAATGCTCTTGTATACAGTGCCCACTCTGACCTCAGCAAGGAGATCAAAGCACCTCAAAAATTCAACTGTATGGTGTGTCAGGAGAGATGCTTTCTAATTGTAGACTAACACAGAATATTCAGCAAGATGACTCTTGTAAGTGGAGTGTGTAACCCAATTACTTGGCCTTGGCAACTGTGTAACAGCAGATGCTTTTCCCTTCTAATCTCTCCTTCTCAAAGATTCAGAAATCAGAGGTCAGTCAACTCAGTCACTTAACAAGTCAAATAAAATCAGATCAGACTACGATCTCTTCTTCTAATGAAACAGAACAATTCTCTCCTTTTGAGTCTTCCTCAACAGTTAGAAAAAACTCAGGTTTCACAAAGATGCTGTAATAATTATTTTAATCATCTTCCCTCTTCTGATCTTTCAAAATAGGCTTGTTCTTCATGAGAAGAGGGGTGCAGACCAAGCACTTCCCTCTTCCAGAAAACCTGTGTTATTGGAGCAGTTATGGATGTGAGCAAGCTGGCAAAAATTAGTCCAGAGTGCTGGTGCTTTGATTTATGCCCCAAGCCAGCCATGGAACCAGGTCTGTTTGACAGAAGCATAACATGATCTTCACACCTTCTTTTCTAATCTTGTGAGAACAACCCAGCCAGTCCAGAAGATGTGAGCCATGGCTGCAGACATACATGTATCTGTGCCCTTGACCATCACTGCGGAAAGATTGTTTATACACGGTTTCTAACAGTAGAAGAGTGCAGTTCTGCTGCTGTAGGATTTCTCATTATTTGGCTTTGATTTCAAATTGATGTAATAATTCTCACCAATACACAAACAGGGAAAATTCTGTGGTGTAGTATGTATATCCAGAATGGGGAGGTGACTCTAGATGCTGTCAGTGTGGATTCTGAATACAAGTATTGACAGACAGCAGGCTCTCCTCTGCTTTTAGAGAACTGGCTTGTATTCAGGATGGTAGTATGCTAGAAGAAAATGCAGGGGACATGATTGCAACAGCGTCTTTTAAGGCAGCAACAGCCCACAACTAACACTAGTGCTGAGTGGGACCCTGACAGAGCCTTGGGTTGGCACCAGTAACAAAGGGCTCCATTGTTTTTTAAAAATAAACCCCACATAAGACATCAGAATGGTTCATCATCGGGGCTTTTGGTAGCTACGCTGCATGTGTGCCTCCATAATTGGACAGCTTAGGTTGACAGAACATAGCCTTACTTTCACCAATTCCATCTGGGGATATGAAATATGTCTTTAGCTGAGAAGCTGTTTTGCTCAGATGATCATAGGAATTGTGAGAATGTCAAGCCCATTGCTTTCTGTGTATTTATGCAGCAACTGGCTTTCTTACAACATTTTCACGTCTCTAGATCTTGAACCTCCTCCTTGGAATACTGTGATACATGTCAAACACTATTACTATCACTTCTCCCATTATAGTAACACATTACACTTCTTGTCTTGGCTTTTGCATTCTCTTGTCGTACTTATAACTACTTTGGCAATCTAAAGAGCAACTTAAAGCTCCAAGTTCTGTGGAGAGGGAAAATTTTCCAATAGTTCCAAAGTTTTAGTCTAGCGAGGGAAGAGCCCGAGAAGACCAATGATTCGGCTGTATGAAGCCACCACCAACAGACACCAGAAGAGAGAACCTAAGACCATTCAGTAGATAGCTTTTCTAACTAACCCAGTGATGAACCATTCCATCTTCATGGCCTTCAGTGGTCAGGTTCTGTTGGAGCTTGTGTGTCTGTCAGAGCAGAGCTTAAACTGAATCTCTGTCCAGCTGTTTTTTAAGTGATAGTACTTTTTGGAAAGGTTACCAACTACCATACCCTATCATTCTTGGAAATCCATTCTAGTTTAAACTACACTTCTAGTCTCTGTCTCTCCTTGTTCTAAATTGCCATGTACTGCAGCTGGGCTTTACTTCAGAAGTACATGAAAGAGTTCTTAACTATGCTCCAATTAGTCAGCAGAAGTCATTAGTCTGGAAATTACATTATTTTTGTAAGTGACTTTGAATTCTTCAGATGAAATGTATTATATAACAAATGATGATGATGATTATTATTATTATTAAAGTACAAAAGGTGTTTCCCAAACTTTCAATTAGAACTAATAGAATATAGGAGTAAGTATTATTCAGACTGAGGATTTGTCAATAGAAAAGACCAGAATTTAAAATGGTATTTTCAAAAGCATTATCCTGTGGTCATTTGTATTCCCACTGAAATCCTAATAATTAGTAAAAGTGAGTGAAGTTTATTTTGAATGTTTTGATATTCTTACTTGAAAAAGCTTATTACTAATATTTTTTATACCTTGGACACAATTGTATCTACTTAATATAACCCCTAGATTTGAAAGTGAAGTCTAATTATTTTTCTATTTAGTAAGAATTCACATAGAATTGACAAAATATGAAGTAATCACTGAACTATATCACTCAACAATAGGCATCAGACACCCCCCAAATACATCATGAGTAATTGGTTGTGTCTGCTTTAGCACAGCCAAGGTCTGACTGCATCTTATGTGGGAACGAGCAAACTATGCACTAGGCAGTTTGTGTAGAGATAGCATTGATACCAAAAACCTCAATGCAGGCTATAAATTTGGGTTGAAAAGCTGAATGAATACTTCAGTACTTAGTTCCCATGAAGCTCTGTATAGTTTTATCTGTGTTGCTATCAATACCTGAAGTACCTCGTCCAAAGCCAGCACAAATACATTTAGACAAGCTTTAGCAACACCTTTGTAGTGCAGAAATGCTTTAAATAAGTTTAGCAGATTTCAGTGTTTTTGCCTTCTAAGTGCATCCTTCTACCAAAAAGAAAAAAAAAAAAAAAAGAGAGAGAACAAGGAAGAATTCTTTTAAATAAGACAGCAAAATGTGGCTCCTTTGGACAAATGGAAGAGATAACAGTTAGACTGAGCGTACACCAACAGAGAATCTCCTGTTTGAGAAGACACCGACCTCGGTGCTAACTCCCATTCCAAAAACATTAATGTTTTGACCTCTGCAGGATGTTTGAAGATGTCCCACTCTGAATTATAACGGCAAAAGACAGAAACTTACTGTGGTATTATTAGAAGGTAGACAAGGCCAAATAAGGCAGCTAGAATTAGTGAGAGAACTACAGCACTGGTGAAGTACTCATCCTGAAGCTGGTGGTACTGTTAAAGAAAGGAAGAAATAAAGACAGTGAGCATTTTATACACCCCCAGCCACCCATGCTTGTCCATTCTCAATAAGGAAGAACTATAACCTAAAATAAAACAAGCCCCTACCCATTTTAAAAACATACAAATAATCATTGCTTAATTCACATGAAGAAGAAAAAAAAAAAAAAGATGAGGAAGTCTACACAACATCTTCCTTGACAGCCTTCTGTTTCAGCTGCTCCTGTTGGCTAGCAGTTTAGTTTTCACCCTGCAACTAGTCAAATAGGCTAAGACACAAGTTTATCTTTTGGAGCACAAAGAATTCGGCCATTTTGAACCAGAAGGAGGTGGCGCTCCCTCCTCTTCACTTACTCATCACCAAAAAAAAGGTCAGAATCCCCTTGGTGCTGCCTTCAAGGAGTCCTGTCACCTCAGCTGCTCAGGACAGGACACTAACGGGTGGCTGGAGGCAGCTGCTAATGAGAGACATGGGCTCAATTTTGAGCAGTTACTGTCCCTGATTCCACTAAGCCACAGTCCTTAAAACAGAACACTTTTCAGGGGTGGAAATCCACGAGTGTTTTCTCAGAAAGATGCAAATTTCAATCTCATCTACAGCAAAAGACTTTCTTATTTTGAAAGAAAACAGTTACAATTAAATAATAAATCACTGTGGAAACTTGAAATCAAAGTTAACGCTCAAGACCTTAAAAAAAAATTGAGTCCAATGTGGCACAGCTTTCTGATTGAAACAGTAGTGACATGAAATCTTAGACTACGAAGTGACTTACAGTGGAAAAAGAAATGCTACTGCCAGCTTAATCCAAAATCACATCCCTTTTGCTTTTTCAAACACATAAACCAAAGGCTTTTATTTTTTTCCCAATTAAAACAGTTTGTATTTACAAACAATACCCATACAGTGTAGGAACCAACAGCTGTACTTTGTTACCTTGCATGCATGCTTATAAGTCTGGAGTAAGGCCACTGCTTTCAGCACAGTCACACCGGCATAAGATCACAACCTTGGCCAGAGATTTAAGATTTTTTTTTTATATTTTCTAGGATTGATGGCATCAATACTTCTCAGACTACATAAGCAGTGGGCAGCATCCTCTTGTCATTAATGCTTCTCCAGGGCAGATCGAGTCAGTAGGCAGCTGCATTGCCACGGGACAGCATGGAGGAGGTGACACAGGTCAGGCAGTTTGGAGAAGCAAAAGGAAGGCCAAAACACAGGATGTGTAACTTCATGGGGGAGGACCTTGATGAGTAGAAAGATACTGATCTTTCTTTCTATCCCCTCCAAGGGCTGCCACAGAAGGTGGAGGTAATGTCTCCCTCTTAACTGAGAGACAGTCTGGAGGATTATTTAAAGATAGTGTAGAGTAGAATTTAAATATTATCTAAAACCAAATAAAAACCCAATGCTAGTTTGTTTTGTCAGTGATGTCAGTGAAATGTCAGTGAAATCAGTAAAAACAATTTGAAAACCCCCTTACTTTATTTTCACGCTCAATTTGCTTATACTTCAGGGTAATGAAGTTCAAGTCGGCCATCTCAGACTCAGTTTGCCGGGCCTCTATCAAACGGCTGATGTATCTGTTTACTCGAGTTCCTGGAGTGTTGTATACAACATTGGTAGAAAAAGAGGAACGATTCCTGAGTTTTTCAGAGGCTGTCCTTAACGCTCTTCTCTGTAGTACGGATGAAGAAAGAAACACAGATTTTATTAACATTGAAATTTTTCATTGCTGTTCATATCATCTCAAGCTCACAGCCAGGATGAGAAATTCATCAAGTAGAGCAACTACAAAAGACAGAGATCTTATCTCCATGTGATTACCACCTTTTAAAAACTCCTTAGATGAAATACCAATCTCATTAAAATCAATGAGAAAACCCCCACTGCATTCCATGATTTCAATCCTCATCTGTGGAAATTCTCTTCACATATTGCTCTGACACTTCTCTGCCACTGAAAAAATAATCAGTTTGATCCCAATCAGTGTGACTTTTCCTAAAAAAATAATAAGCATTTTTTTCTTGATGGAAGATACAGAGCTCTGGACATCTTGAAGACAAGACAACAAGGCTGTTCATGATACAAGACAAGTCCTACTGTCCAAGACTGTCTAGGTAACAATATATATTTTGAAAAGGTAATTTTCCTTAACCTCTTGCACAATGACCATACATGACTTCAGAGGGTCTGAAATCTCAAGTGTTCCTATGTGAATATCTTGTTAAGACCTCTTGGATATGCCTTAAGTGCACTTGCAGATCCAGATGGAGCAGTCCAACAAACTATCCTGTACCTAATTGGGGTTAATTCCTCCGTGTCTCAGATAGCACAGCTGACAAGATGAACACTCATAGTCTTTTGCAGTGCAAAAGATTTATCACAGAGCTTATCTGAAAGGGCTTTTAGACAATCTGTCTCACTTTTCTCAGAGATCATTCAGAAGATGGTGAGCAGCATCTCAGCCACACTGGTGGTAACCTTCGGTTGAGGACACTGTAATGGAAACCATTATGGCTAGATTTGCACTAGTATGACTGTCCATGGCCCAGCACACTGAAAGGATCAGGGCCTTCACAAAATGCTCTTGTAGATGCAACATTTTTTAAAACAAAGTGAGAAAGATGTAGGCCAATCTTGTAAAAGAAAAAAAAGTCACCTAATGGTTAGCACATTGAGTAGGAACAAAGAGACATCAATTGAATATCCTTTTCACCTCAAAAGGGGTCAAGCCTTACTTCCCAGAAGAGTTTTGACAACAAAGCTCAGGCAAGTTGTACTATTTTTATACAATTAAAGGAATACCTTTTTGTCTAACATCTGCACAGTTCAGGAAGACAGTTCAAAACATTATGAAATGACAAGTCTGCACAGGGATAAGGACAACATTGGCTCAGGATATAATTAGTAGAGTCTGTCAGCAAGCTGTTACAAAAGCACACAAAATTTCTGTCTTTGGAGTAGTCCGTACTTAATATCCCACTCTTTAAAGGCTATACTACAAAATATCCTTTTAAACCAGATGGTAAAAAGAGGTGGTGATCGTTATTGAAGTAATTCTCTAGGAATGACAGTTTCCTGTCTTATTCCACAAGAAGTAATTCTCATGGGATCCTCAACAGTGAATAAATGGTGGACTACAGTAGTTCATTAGCTTACATAGCTTAGGTTATATGTATATTATACATGAATACTTATGAACGGTGGGACGGGTTAACTGCTGACTGATACCTTAGTTTTTGGAACACAAAGAAGAATGGACCTTAGCAAAGACAAAATAACTTTTCAAGTCCTGTTTTGCTGGCTTTATATGAAGAGAGCAGGTTATACCAGCATTAAACAATTATGAGGCTACTTGAAATATTTTTCTTCAAACTATCAGATCCCATTAACTTGTTGTCTGTGGTGAAAGAACTAATTGTTTCAATATGAAAAATAATCTTGTGGACATACAGGGATTAGAGCTTTCAAATCTGATCTTCTGGGTTCTGTTAGCCATAACAGAAATCTTAAATTGCCACCCAAACAACTATTTTAAGTGTTTCTGAACAGAGGTAAAGTTGTTTTCTTGCAAAAGACATTTGTCCCACAAGTTTATAGGGAAATTGAGTGCTTTCAGGAATATTGTTAGGAATACACAATTTTGCACTTCATAAATAAAAACAACAGTTAGTTAGCATATGTATTGCATATGTATTGCTTAAGGTGCAGCAGAAAGTACATCTTTGGGGATTTTTTATAATTCAAATTTAAGCCGATAATAATAGGGGTGCGTGAAACAGCATTTGAAAAAAAAGAAAATGCTTCTTTTCTTTAAAATATGAAATGAGGGTAGATGATGGCAGTTATTCTGATATACGGAATAAATTATATTATCTATTCTGTCATGTTGAAATAAAGTTTCTGTGCTTAATCAAAATAGCTGTTGCTCACATATAATTATTTTCATGAGGTCTCTTATTTTTATCTCTATTATTTCACACAGGAGATTTACATTATGTCTTACACATGTAAGTATCAAGATCCAGTATTTATATTTCTCAGAAATTAAATAAATAAATACATTCTACAGTAATATGCTGGCTTCAAAGCCTTTATAGCCATAGCTTGTTTTACGTGATTTGAGGACTGGTATTTCTGAAGAAACCCTGCATTGCAACACAATGTATTTATATTAATATCATATATCATACTCCACAAAAAAATGTCATGTATTAGGTACAAAAGCTCAGAACAACTGGTTTAGTTACAGATAGCATTGTAGAACTCCACTGCAAATGTTCTGACATGAGAAAATTTTCATCAGATCCCTAGCAAACCCGTATCAGGATTTTCTGCTAATACTACCATATTTATACATACATATACACAAGACACATTGTAAAGTATTGCATATGCTTCAAACAATGTGTAGGTTACTTTTTTTAAATACTCAAACAGTACTAATTCACTATTGGAAGGCCTTGTACATGGCCGATTTCAAAATCAAATCTGGAGTTTCTAAAAGTCTTCACTGAAACTGTATTTTAAAGAAACTAAGAGACTTTTCTCCCCTTTTCCCACAGAAGAAACAGAAGCATATGTAAAATAAAAAAAATAAAAGTTAGAATGCTTTCTGAAAGTAAGATGTAGACTGAATCTTCAAATGTACATTATTAAAAAAAAAAAAAAAAGAGGTGTGGCAATCAGTCAAGATGAATTACTGATTCCAATGCACACATGCCCTGCTTTGGAGCACTGGTGGAGTCACCTATTTAATGTTGCCACCTGCTGGCAAAAAAAATGGAATGAGTAACTCTTCAAAATTTTTTTCTGCATAAATTTCTGGGTAGATCCACACACAGAAAAACAATTAGACCAGGCTACTGGTATGTAAAGCGATTTTGAGTTATGGCATTACAAGTCATTCAAGAAAGCAGTATTCACAGTTGTATTAGGGACTTTTGTATTTAGGGTTTGTATTAGGGACTAAGAGGGTTTTTGGCTAAGCAGTTGTCTTTTTTTTAGAGAACCATCTAGAGATACAAAATTATTCTGTGATTTTGCATTTGCTGCCATCAGCCTCAGACTTTGATGGACTCATGATGCAAAAGAACAGCTATTAGTAATTGCAGAAAAAGCCTCAGGAACACTAATTCCTGTGAAGGAAGCCCTTAATAGAAGCCACATAGGCCACTTGTGCTGGCTTGTTCAAGAGGAGCTCCAAATTTAAGGTCTGTTATAATTAAGTTTTGTGTTTTCTGTGAGAAGGCTGTGGGCATTAGATAGCTCTAGGTCTAGCAGGAAGACCAGAATCACCTTTATCAGTTGGTCAAGTCACCCCATATGTTCTCAGAGCAGGTCTGCTGGATGTGGCCCTGGGAACGACATCCAAAGAGCCCACATGGATTACCTTGTCGTCATCCTCACACGTCATGACATTGGAGAAAGGGATCTCCGCTTTGAACATCTTACGACAGTGCATGAGCTGAACAAGCAGGTAGCAAACTGTCTTGAACTTCATTCTTTTGGCAGGCTTAATGTCTGAGAGAATCAGTCCAGGAAATATCTGTTGGTCAGAAAAATAATATTTGTAACTGTGTCATTTCATTCCCTCGCAGACATTTACACCATCTAGTGGTCAGAACAAAGTAATATTCTAATCAAGAAATATTGCATTTTGATAAAATTCATATATTTGCATATGAAGATTATTTCATCTTTTTTTTAACCTGAGATATAAAGAATCCATTGAGCAGACAGTATTTAAACACATACTTAACATTTTGGGAACTGTTTTCTACAAAGAAATGTAGACTATAAAAAAAGCGTATTAATGACAAGTTCATAAAAGAGGCAATATTTGTATTTCTTCAACCTTAAAATAAATTCTGGAAAAATACAGGAAAAAATAAGGAGGAAATTAACATCTTTATTAATTGATGAAAAATATATAATTTAATTCTTTTTCTTATTTCCTTATTTTGTTATGTCAGCCACTGGTACGCTCATTAAAATCAGAAGAGGACAGCTTTTCCTTTAAAGATACACTTACATACATGCCTTAGAAGGAGGCTGTGAGGCACTGAACTTATATCTTATTTCTTCAAAGCAAGAAGTGTTATACCAGAAAGAAATATTCTCAAAGGGTTGGGTATAATCTATTCCTTTTACCATGGAGCTTCCAGTTCAGCAAGGACAAACATTTTCTTGGTTAACTCTTAAGCATGCATTTAACTCTTGCTGACTTCAGTAAACCTCTAGCACATGTTCAGATGCTTTCATAGATCTGAATAAGAATGACCCTTTATTCTACCCTCAGTATCAATCTTATTCATGCTTCTGGCATGTGGAATGTGTCAAGCAGTGTTCATGGGAAATGTGGAAGGACCCCAAGCCACCACAGTATGGGAATTTAAGCTTGTAAAATTAACCTTTTCTGGAAGAGCAAAATAAAGAAGCACAGAGGATTTGGACCCTAGTGCTCCTAGGTACAAAAGGCAGAGGAAATCACACTCCAAAAACTTCATTCAAATGCTCTAAAACCCACAAATGGCACTGAGGATTTGCTGTCCAGGCTTCACAATACTATGATTTACTAGAGCAGTTTACATCATTACTTCAAAGATAAAGGAATGAAGAAGGAAGTAAACTGGAAGCATTTATTTAATGCATGTTTTCATGGATACCTAAATTTAGAGGGATGGGGCAAATGAATGACACTGCTTATATTCTGAACGGCATCTTAGGTATTGGTCTGCCATGCTGTTTAAAGCATACAGCTATACACTTGCATTTTCTGGAGAATCAAGGGTATATCCTATTGATCTACCAATACTGTTTAGTCAGTTACACTGTGGCTACTTCTGTACAAATAGTTGCACGCTTCTTATTAGCAGATGGCTATGTGAAAAACATGTCACGTTTCAAATGTGGAAAGGTGCCTATGTACGCACATGTGCTTTATTGTGCACTGAAAGGCTGACTGAAGCCAGCTAGCATCACCAGTGCTGTACTGTTTGGTCATCAGCTGGAATCTAAAAGGACACTAGTATATCTAGTGTGTAATCAGTTGTACAACTGATAGTTTAACAAAAGTCTCTATGAAGAGATTCCCAAGATGAACCCTTTGTTTTGAGGGCTTTCTAGCAGAAGACTTACCGCTATATTGCAATAACCACATAGACGATACCGTACAAGGATATTCACATACTAATCATCCTTTAGGTAATCCTAAGGCTACCAAGTAGATAGTTGTTAGGCTTGAGTATGGCAGATAGGATCAGCTTTTGAGTTATCATTTCCATCAGCTAAATCATAGTTTTTGGACACATATTCCACATATTCCAAATTTTCCTAATGTAGCCGTAATTCCTCTAGAAGTGCTATATATTTCACTCAGTCTCCTTATCAACCTTTTGATACAACAAAACCAAGCAACTTTCTTGAAACTCCCTCCAGTTTTGCATTTTGCCTCCTTTTTTTTAAGACACAGAGATAAAAAGGGAATACACAGAAGTTTACAGGTGGACCATATCTCAAGAGATCCTTAGCTCTTTCTTTGCTCAAACCTTTCACTGTGGACATTGCCTTAACTAGGTCAATAACTTTGGTTTCAGGTCTCTGTTAGATTGGCTGGAAAAGATGCTCTTAAAAGTACAAAGAGCTACAGAAGCTGCCTGACAGCCTTGATAACGGAAATGCAACAGTGGCTAAGAATACGTAGAACGTCTTACTAGTGAAAGATTCAAGAAGGCATGGCTGAGAAAGGTGAGCACATGGGCACGGCTATATCCTTTTACAAGGATTTGAAGTCCTGTGAAAAGAGAAGAATTTAGACCTTCCTTGATGAAAACTTCTTATAATAGATGCATTTCTGAGAACAACCTGCAACTTGAAAACTTGGAATGGGTACAGTTTGACTCAGGCAGTGTGGCCCTGACTCTTCCTCAAACACATCTTTTCATGCAGTTCCCTGATTATACCCTCAAAGAAGTAGGCAGAACATTTTTAGCTCATACCATTGACCAGTTTCTTTTCGTTTATAGATCTTGTCAGCAGATAATATACACCCTTTGTATGTTGGAAATACAGGGGAGTTTTCCAGCTATCTTGGAGTCAAACAGAAGTTTTTCAACTCAGGTCACTGAAAAAAAATGGAGTAGTGTGTCTACTTTTGGGTTCCCAAGTAGTAGAAAAACAGTAATAAACTGGAGTGAGTTCAGCAAAGGTTCACCAAAATAATTAGGGTTCTAAAGCATATGATGTATGAGAAGAATCTGAGGGAATTCAGTTCATTTAGCTGGAAGAAAAGGCGACTAAGGAAGGACCTAATTGCTGCCTTCAGCCACCTAAGTAGTAGTTAGAGAGAAGACAGAGCCAGACTCATCCCAAAAATGCTCAGAAAAAGCGCGAGAGGCAATGAATGTCAGCTGGACCAAGGGAAATTCCTATTTGACACAAAGAATAGAAGTTTTAACTGTGAGGATGATCATGCGCTGGAGCAGGCTGCCCATAGAGGCTGCAGAATCTCCAGCCAGGGAAACACTCAGCACTCACTCAGACTAGTTGCCCTGAACAATTTGCAAATTCGAACGTGGATCTAACTGCAAAGCTGGCCCTACTTTGAGCAGGGAGGTCAACCACATGGCCTCCAAAGGTCCCTTCCAAGTTCAGCTCCTGTGTGATGCTATGAAAACGTGTGGAATATCTATAGCTACTGTTCTTCATGGCTGGCCAAGAACCTCATCGAAGGACATGGCCATACACACAAGTTGGGCACACCAGCAGTTCTCAGATCATGTAGAGTTTTATATATAGCTTTTTTTTTTTTTTTTTTTTTTTTTTTTTTTTTTTTTTTTTTTTTTTTTTTTTTTTTTTTTTTTTTTTTTTTTTTTAAATCTAGTTGTTGCAGGACATATAGATTCTGCACTGGGACTGAGGATTTTCCATTCTACTATTATATATACACAATATCAAAAATACAAAGGAATTCTCTCCCACTTTTATATCACAAATCTTGTCCCTTTTTATTATTACTTTTACAGCAGAACAACACTTTTGACACAGTGAACTTGTCAGTGGAATATTTAAGTAATCTCACCTTCTGCAATAAGTCTCTGATAAAGGCAAGAAATGCAGTACAGCCTGTTAAAACAGACTTTAAAAAATAAAAACCAAACAAACCAATCCCAATGTCTTTCACTCCGCCTTTTCTCTGAACTTGCTCCAGGCCAGCATTACAGGAAAGCTGGACTGCAGTATTCTCATTCCAGCTCATTTTGTGGATGCATTTTACTTTCACACTTCTCTTTCACCCTCAGGATCATCTCTTATTCTGTTCACTGTTCATTTACTTCATAATTTTAGAAAAAGTTGGTTGTTTGCTGCAATACAGCTGGCAAATAAGGTTAAGAGCTGGGATTTTCTAACAGAGCACTCTGAAAGCAGCCAGACTATCTACAGCTTTGTGAGTGTCTTTAAGTATGCAGAAAACAAACAAGTGCTGATTAAAATTCTGGGAAAACACCCCAGTGTTTGAATCTCATGTCATACTCTGGTAAGGGATTCACTGGTGCTTATCTGGGATTCTCAGAAACAGCAGCAGACTGTTGTTCCCCTGACTACATTCAACCACAGTGCTTAAAATGGCACGGGAAAAAAGATACTAATGACATTCAAAACACATTTACAGAAACCATAAATGCTGTAGTATTCTGTCTGTTGGTGCTTTCTATCTTCAGGCAGGCAGGACTATGCCTCTTGGTAGCAGTGTTTATTCCATTACTATCTGCAAGCCATTTGTCCTGAGATAGGTGGGCAAATGTGATTTGGGTTTTTTTTTCTTCTCACAGTTAAAATTATCAGACATTTGCTTTTCAATCCTCTTCTACTGCCCTTATGATACATTTTGCTTGTCACACCTCAGTTGTCCATCAGGAAAGTATATTAGTGATTTTTACCAGTAAATAATACAGTTTCTATAAGACAAACTGTTAACATGCAGAATGGTGTGGGCACTTTCTTGACACAGATATAGAAAAAGTTTTTAGCAGCTGTGAAGACTAAAACAATCTCTAGGAGATCAGTAACAGAGAAAAACTTATACCAGTGCCCTATGTTTCTCCCTTCTACAGATTCCACATTTCTGGAGGAAGAAAAAGAAGAGAGGAGAACAATGTTAGAGCATGTAACTAATTCCACCATCACTGCCAGCCCAAGTGCGGGCTGTCCCGTTGACAATGATGCACTAGCAGCTTCACAGCAACTGCAGAAACAATCCTGAAAATGTACAGCAAGACCCTCTGCAACACAACCATCTTTCCTTTTTGCGTATTTGCTGGGTGGTAACACAAGCAGTTTACTTCCAGTGTCAGGGTCCGTATATTCCGACTTGTGCAATGCAAAGTCTCAGGCACAGATCAGCCCCTGCTTAGATACAAGCTAGAACTTCCATCAAAAGGCTATGTGTCTATCCGGTGAATCAGATCTGCTAAGGTCTGGGATGTTAAAACCTGAAAGGCCCAAGTTATGCATTCAGATCTCTAGTTAAGTTCCTTTTAACCTCTT